TGGATTACAACTCCTATAATTCCCGCTATCATGATTCTGCTGCCTGCAAATGATGGGAGTTGCAGTGCAGGCCAGCTCAGGGGCAGCAGTTAGCTAAGACTGTGCTCCTGTCCCAGGACAAATTCTGTCTGATTTTCACACTCCTCACACAGGGTCAAGCTTGGAGAGGGTCAAGGTATACATGGTTTGCTATACTGGTGGTTTACTTCCTTTTTAAACAAATGGAAGTCGAGGTGGGAGAGGGAGGAAGGTGCTCATATTTGGATCGAGTGACACTTGACAGAAAAGGTTTTTAGTACTTTCTGTGGCATTTCCCCAACTGAGATACTTCACCCCCATCCTCACCCTCCAAAGTTACTTGAAATCCACTGGGAGGCGTGGGGCAGTTGGGTAGATAATGTAGTGGAGAAGGACTGATTATCCTTTTTCGTGTTGCGCAACTAATCTTTGCGGTCCCATGCTTGTTTTGGCCCCAGAGCATCTCCTTCCTATCCCTTCTTATGTCCCCATCAGTTTGCAGTTTGGTTGCTAGGATATGAATGTCTTTGGTAAGTGTCTACTTTTATTGATCTTATTTATTGTTTACTGGGAGGCTTTTAAAAAGAATCCCCCTTTTTTCTTCTTCTTTAAAGACTTCCTCTTGTTTTTTTTAAAATTTATGGACAAACTCTCTCTCTCTCTCCCCCTCACCCCCCATTACACAGTTGGTGACCAAGAGCAGAACATCACTAGACTCCCGTCTTTGATGGCTGCCTCTTCAACTCTTCAACCCTTTACGTCACTGACATCTTGAGTTTTGTGTCTTACATATTAAAAAGTTTAAAATGATTGCTTGCATATATGCCCCTTTATCTGTTCTGGTAACATTTTTTTTACCTAAATGGGGTGAATGTTAAAAAGAAGATGAAAAGGGGGATTAAAAAAGAAAGAAAGAAAGAAAGAAAGAAAGAAAAAGAAAGAAAGAAAGAAAGAAAGAAAAGCAAAAATGGTAACTCCCTGCTTTATGACAGGGGCCTGCAAGAGTACAATTTTCTGCATATGGGAATACAGAGTGTGGCAAAGTTACTTTTTGAACTACAGCCCCAGAATCCTTGTATTGTTTAAGAGGGGATTTGGAGACTTGTATTCTGTCTAGAAAATAGTTTTTCCAAAATCTGTGGAAATGTCTCATCTCTTGCACAGCGGAGTTTCCAAAAAAAGACTTTGCATGAGAAACGGAGTTTTTAATGGACCACATATGATTGTGTTCTGTTATTCCTTGTGGCAGGTGGCTCTGGCTGGGTGGCACTTGCCCTGTTATGAATGCCCTGCACACAAACCAGTGTGTTTGACTACAACTCCCATCATTTTAGCTACGCTGAGAAAGCTGTTGCATAGTCCTGGGTTGCATCAAACAGAACAAACAATGCCATTTTCATCAAAAGACTGTGCCAGAGGTCAGGAGTTTGATTCCCCCTTGCTGCCTCCTTGACTGGGGTTGGACTTGATGATCCATAGGATCCCGTCCAGCTGTGCAGTTGCAAGATTTAAGATTATTTTATGCTCCACCTTTCTGTTAAGAGAGAGCGCTCAAGGTGCACTGCGGGCTTAAGTGACAAAATTACATTTAGTGTCTAAAGAAATCTATAATACCCTGTTTCTCAGAAAATAAGACAGGGTCTTATATTAAAGTTTGCTCCAAAAAACGCATTAGGGCTTATTTTCCGGGGATGTTTTAATTTCCAGTCATGTATCTGGTTGCTGCACAATGGTGGAGGGCGGGGTTTCACTTAACTGGGGCTTATTTTTGGGGTAGGGCTTATATTTCGAGCATCCTGAAAAATCATACTATGGCTTATTTTCAGATTAGGTCTTTTTTTCAGGGAAACAGGGTAGCATCATGGAAATCAGCCCCACTGTAAAATCATATTTTTGTAGCTATTGGTCCCATGAGAAGTGATGGGGTTTTGTGGCAGCTCTGAGCACTCAAGTCCATATGGCAACTTGAGAGATGCTGTGTTGTAGTGTGTGTGTGTGTGTGTGTGTGTGTGTGTGTGTGTTTTGGGGTTTAAACCTCCTCTCAACTGCTCCGGTGTCAATCCATGGCCCTCTGGGAGGTCTTGTGCTTTAACTCTCAGCCTCTGTGACTGTAGGCCACAATGTCTGGGGTTTATGTACAACAAAGTGTATGTGTGTGGGTCACAGCTTCCCTGTCTCTGCTCTGGTGGCTTGAAAAGGTGCTCTCTTCTTCATCCAGGCAGCCCCAATGTGGTCAATGCTTTTATTCTTTATGAACCGGACTGCCACCGTTCCCATTGTATCAGGTGTTTGAAGAGAGCAAGCCACAAAGCAATGCCGTACAAGTCCCAAATTTGGAGCATGCAATATTAACTCTTTTTAAAAAAAAACTGTGATGCTCACATTCTCCCAGCTGTTTGCCATGCTGGCTGAGAGGGGGATTATGGGAACTGTAGTTGAAAAGTAAAGCATCTTAAAAAGCAGAGACATGACCTTGCCGACAAATGTCAGCATAGTCAAAGCTATGGTTTTTCCAGTAGTGATGTATGGAAGTGAGAGCTGGACCATAAAGAAGGCTGACCGCCAAAGAATTGATGCTTTTGAATTGTGGTGCTGGAGGAGGCTCTTGAGAATCCCCTGGACTGCAAGGAGAACAAACCTATCCGTTCTGAAGGAAATCAACCCTGAGTGCTCCCTGGAAGGACAGATCCTGAAGCTGAGGCTCCAATACCTTGGCCATCTCATGAGAAGAGGAGACTCCCTGGAAAAGGCCCTGATGTTGGGAAAGTGTGAAAGCAGAGAACGAGATGGATGGACAGGGTCATCGAAGCGACCAAAAATGAATTTGACCCAACTCCGGGAGGCAGTGGAAGACAGGAGGGCCTGGCGTGCTCTGGCCCATGGTGTCATGAAGAGTCGGACACAATTTAATGACTAAACAACAACAAAGTTGAAAAGTAATATTTCTAAGGTCCGACAAAAAACCCAAATGAATTCTTTCACAGAATATCCAGAAAGAAGGGCAGGGCACTTCTGTTGCATGAAGACGGGGCCCCAGTGTCAGTTTTGGTGTCTCTACATGAAGGGCTTTGGAAAGCCTATGATGGGCTGCTTGCCAGTCCCGGCGGCTTTGTGAGGACCCACCTGGCAGGGGATAGAAGATGGCGCCAGCAAGCTGAGGAGAGCTTTGTTGACTTGCGTTCTACTCAGTGGATCTACAAGGCAACTTTTCCTGAGCTGAGGAGGCCCTGGGGCTGTTTGCTGACAACACTGGGGAAGGGCCTGATTAAATGCTTCCTCTTGGCCCCCCCCCGTGAGGTTTTGAGGCCCACAAGACTCTCCTTTGCTCTGGAGAAGCCTTTATGAGCTTTGTCAGGGAGGGAGCCTTTCATGGCCAAAAATCACAACCAGATAGTTTCTGGGGGTCCCGATTCCAGTGGTGGCACTCTGGTGGTGCTTTTTATGACCATTAAAGGCTTCCGAAGGATGGAAGGGGCCCCTAGAGAGCCTCCGAACCTCAAATGGGAGGATTTGGGGTGTGTGAGAGTGTGTTTGGAAACATTTAATTAATAAGCTTTAGCAGTGCGAGTTGATGACTTCACCAGCCTCCCCCACCTATAAAGTACAGCACCTTGCTGGTATTGAGCCCTGTTGTTGTTGTTAATCATCATCATCATTCAAAAACTCCAGGCACAGTCAAAATTATAAAAACATTGACTGGTTGTATATAACATATACAAGTTTTATCCAAAAAGCTAAGTATCTGTTAAATATCGGTGCGGTATGTATGTTGTTCCTAATATTGCCGTTTTTTGTAGCTCTGAGGGTGGTGTAATTTCTGAGATCGGCAACTGCTTATAGAACTGTGTGAAATTTATTGATGTTGTTCCGAAAGCCCCAGTGACTATGGGGACCACTGAAGTGTGTTTCTTCCAGAGGCGAGTTGTTGTTGTTGTTGTTTAATTAGTATTAATAATAATTATTATTAATAATTTCCAAAGAATTTGAAAATGTGATAAGCAAATTAATCTTGAAGACTGGTACAAAGAAATGTGGAATTTAGCAATTAATGATAAACTAATATGTGAAATTAAAGTAAGAAGGGTAATGACTAAATATAATGATTTTAAAGAGGAATAGAATTTGTAACATGTCTGAAACATGTCTTTGTTGAAAGGGAAAGAAGAATCTATGTATTTTTTGGAGTGGAATTGGGTAAAAAGGGATTAAAAGGATATTTTGGTTACCTAGTTCCAAGGGTGAGGGCAGCACAGGAGGGGAATTATAGATGTATTGTATGTATATACATTTTATGTTAGTGCTGTCATTACAGTGGTGCCTCGCTTAACGAGCGCACCATATGACGAAATCGCATAGCGATCTCTTTTTTGAGATCGCTAATGCGTTTGCTTACTGATGGCCTCTATGGCCAAAATGGTAAGCGTTTCGCTTACCGATCTTCGCATTGCGACGCTGGGAAATCAGCTGTTCGGCGGCTCCAAAATGGCCACCGGATGACCCAAAATGGTCGCCGCAACCATTTTTGCGCCCTGCCCTCGCTTACCGAGGGCTGAAACATGTCTTTGTTGAAAGGGAAAGAAGAATCAATGTATTTTTTTGGAGTGGAATTGGGTAAAAAGGGATTAAAAGGATATTTTGGTTACCTAGTTCCAAGGGTAAGGGCAGCACAGGAGGGGAATTATAGATATATTGTATTGTATGTATACACATTTTATGTTAGTGCTGTCATTATTCATTTTCTATAAAATAAATTTTAAAAAGATATTGTTCCCAAAGTCCCAATAACTGCGGGGGGGCCCCCTGAAGTGTGTTTCTTCCAGAGGTGAGTAAAATTAATTTTAAAAAGATGCTGTTCCCAAAGTCCCAGTAACTGCGGGGGCCCCCTGAAGTATGTTTCTTCCAGAGGTGAGATGTTGTTGTTGTGATGATGAAAGCCTCCATCCTCCCCCACCGTATTAGCACTTGCTGTTTTGGTTGTTTAGGCGCAGACAAGAGAGGCTCGGCAAGGACCAGAAACAGTTCGGAGTCTTCCAGAGTCCCCCCAAATGCAGAGAGGAGGCGGCAACTATCCGAATCCTACCCAGACAACATGAGTAGCTCGGAGGGCAGAATGAGTCTCCGGCAGTTGGGAACTCCCAGAGGTAAGTCCTGGGCAGTTGTGTGCGGTCGGGAAAGGAAGGCTGCTGGTCAAAGATAAGCTGGAATCGAGCATTTTCGGATGCCGCACGTGGAATTGTATCGATAGACTCGTTTTGTCCTTGTTCTTACTACTGTTTGTGATTCTACTTTTTTCATTTAAGCAGCTTGAGAGTCTGGATTGTCAGTCAGTGTGGATGTGCAGGAATGTGATAGAAAAATATTCATTCTCCTTTTGCGAAATTTCCACGGTAGACTGGGAAAACCCCTATTATAGGGACAAACATTTTGGTTTGCTCTTAAATGGCTGATGTCGGTTTGGTGTGACATTTTGGCAGCAGGCCCCTGCAGACCAGTGTCAAAACCGAAGACTGGTTCCAGGTAGCAGATCATAAAAACGACAAGTGCCAGAAACCAAAAGCTGTATAGATCACAAATATAATAACTGTTGGCAAAGGAAAAGTGTCTCTCTGTGTGTGTGACACACATACAGAATACTGTAGTAATTTAAATACTAACCAATTTATTTCAATGTGAGCTGTTACGTATCAAAATCCACTTCTTCAGGCCCAGGAATACAACTACACGTCCCCTGTATTTATTGCAGAGTGATAAGATTTAGGTCAAGGTGAGGATGCAGGTAATATTTATTTATTTAAAATATGTTTACTCCCCCTTTCTCCTTAAAAAGTATCCAAGGTGGTTTGCATCATTAAATGACAGTATTTAAAGCTAATAAAAGTGAGTATACAAATACTAAAAAAGATCAAAGTTAACACCATACTAAAAACGTAAGCAACACCAAAACACATTCAAAGCAGTAAGGTACAAAATTCCCCCACCCCCACACTCAGACAGCCAGTAATTACAAGAAAGCTTGCCTGAAGAGAAAGGACTTTGCCTGTTTGCAGAAGGACAGTAAAGATAGGGCCAGCCAGGCCTCCTGTGGTAGGGAGTTCCAAAGTCTGAGAGCAGCAACAAATTGGCCTCCCAAGTCCCCACCAAATACACCTGTGAAGGTGTTGGGACTGAGAGAAAGGCCTCTCCTGATCTTAACACCTGAACAGGTTCACAATGAGAGACACGGTCCTTGAGATAGCTTGGACCCAAGTTTTTTAGGTCTTTATAGGTTAGAACCAGCTGTCACAGGAATGCCACGAATTGTTTATGGGACAGAGGCCAGACTCTGTCAAGGTAGACAGCAATTCAGTATCTGAATGGTGTTACGGAGAGCTGGATTATTAATACATGCAGTGCGCTGAGAACACATACATGGCCATAATAGTATAGCAATAATGTTTTACTGAATCAAATCTCCCATGCAAAGATGCCTCCGAACAGTGTTTCCCAACCTTGGGTAGTCCAGGCATTCTTGGACTACAGCTCCCAGAAACCCTAACCAAGACAGCTGATGGTGAAGGCTTCTGGGAATTGCAGTCCAAGAACAACTGGCTGACCCAAAGTTGGGAACCAGTGCCTTAGAAGCTTTGAGAGCTGCATTCTGCTTTTGGACCAAGAAGCAGTTTTGCTGCCATTAAAAAAAGCATCATTTTTGGGGTAACATTATGTTTAAATTGCCTGGACTGATAAATAGCAGTAAAAATTCTGGTTTGCTGGAAAATTGGGCTTCCTTCATCCTGTGATAATATCTGTGCTGAGCTGCGGGTCTTTGTAAAGTCATAAAAAGAATGGATCTGTATGGAAAGCCAGTGACTGTGGTTATCTGCTCAGGAGGTCTCTACTCTGCTGATTCAACCCCCGGCGAGAGAAAAAACCGCACTAAGCCAACCCGGGGGAGGAAGAAAATATTTGAAACCTACATGTCGAGAGAAGATGTCTCTGCAGGTCTGAAAAGGAAGATGCTCATCCAGGTGCTTGGAGCTTAGAGTGTTGGATGGTGTGCGGACGTGGTGGGTTGGGTGGGGCTAGTTGCCATCCCTGCAGTCACTTGATATCTGGGGATACGATAACGGAGGCAGATCTCCAGTCTCCCAGGGCCGTTTTCCTTCCTACATTTCCCCCTTGAATGAAGCTCTTAGCTAGACCTACAAACATACCTGAGACTCAGTTGGTTAAGCAGATTAAGGAAAACTTGTTTTTCTGGGGACTACAGCTCCCATGATTCCTCAGCTGTTAGGGTAACATTGAAGTGGAGCGGCACTATCCTGACAAAAGGAGAGAGATAGAATTTGGAAGGGACCTATAAGGTGATTGAGTCCAACTCACCTGCTCAATGTAGAAATACAAATCAAAGGATATCTGCCAGGGGATGGTCTAAATTTATTTTTGGATGCCTCCAGTGCTGGAGCCGTCACCACCTCTTGGGGTAATTTCTTCCATTGTACTACTCTAACAGTTAGGAAGTTTTTCCTGATCTTCAACTGGCATCTGGCTTCCTGTAATTTGAGCCCATTATGCATCTGGCGTCCTATAATTTGAGCCCATTATTGCGTGCCATGGGAACACCTCCTGCCCTTCCTCTGTTTGACAGCCTTTTAAGGATTTGAAAAGTGTTATGGGGTTCATCGGATCAACCATGGTGGTCAACGTCTTTGGGAATGCTTTTGGTAGTAGAGAAAATGCTTGGTAGCCGTGGAAAGCGGGTGGTTTTGTCTTTTGGTCCTCTTTCTTTCTCATTTGCTGGTCTGACCTGCTAAGGTGGATAGCTGAGTGGTCTCTGGATGTAGAGCCAGAAGTCGGGAATTCGAGCCCCCTACTGGGCCTTCTAGACCAGGGGCTGGACTGGATGATCCATAAGGTCCCTTCCAGCTCTGCCATTCTAAGATGATGAGGATGAATGGTGGAACACCCAGTCTTGGATGGCTCAGAGAACTCATTCATGCAAAGTTTGCCTTAGGAAGGGTATGTCAGAGCAGCTTGAGACGTTGATTGTATGGTCTTAAGAAAGGGTTAGGATTAGTCTCAATGTCTTAAGGCAGTCCAGCCTCTGTAACTTGTAATCCTAACAGCAGCCGAGAGGCACAAAAATGCAGAAACAACAGTCACAAAACCACAAAGTGGTTGTTTATTTTCATGCAAGCCCAGCCTTTTGGAGATCTTCCCTTTGTTAGCCCCTCCCCCCCATGCAAGTAGCATGGATTCGATACTAGCCATGCTTTCTGTATCACCATTGTTTCCCAGGACTACAGAGCCAGATGTCATGTTAATTGGGGACTCTGGGAGCTGTAGTCCAGCAGATCTTAAGGGTGCTGTCTGACTACATGGATGCCTTCTGACCCTGTGGGCATGATTGTGGTTGTAGATGGAGAAAGTGAGCCAACTGAGATGTAGGGCCTCTAAAAAAATTTAAAGTACAGATACTGAAGGATAAATCTAGTGAGAAACTGATTTGTGCAACCAGGAGAATCTTGATATGTAGCCTTCCCCCTGTCCTTTTGAAAGAAGTGTCTCTTCTTACATACTTGGGGGGAAAAAGAAGCAGCACACACTGATAAATATAGCAGCTATTGTTTGTGCGAGATTGTTAAGTAATGGGGGTTGAGGATGACATCATGAGATTCTGCAGCCAGAGTCCTGGCCCTGATGCACATGTGAGAACAGTTGTTCCTTGCAGATGGGGAGAGCGGCTGGTTCCAGATATGATATCACAGCGTGAAATGCACAGCATTGTAAATAGGATTTTCAGAGGCACAGATAATAAGGCCCATCTGCTTTCGAAGAGGAACAAGGGAAGTCCCTCTCTTTAGCGCAGCAAAAGCACCAAAGACAATAAAGCATAAGGGTTAGGTATTTAAATTTTTGTTGGACGTATTTATTTTCGCCATTTCTATCCCACCTTTCCACCAATTGGAGCTGCGGGTGCCGTTTGGAAGCCTAGTTTAATTTCAGGAGAGTCAGCACAGAATAGTATTTCTTGATTTTCATAGGCTTTCATGGCCGGGATCCGATGGTTGTTGTAGGTTTTTCAGGCTGTTTGGCCGTGTTCTTAAGGTTTTTTTTCCTAACGTTTCACCAGTCTCTGTGGCCGGCATCTTCAGAGGACTGGAGTTGGAACTCTGTCTGTGCTCTGGTGCAGTTTGTGGGATAGTTGAGTATTTATACCTGTGGGATCAGCTTTTGTCCTTTTCAGGAGATGGGTGATTATGGTGACCAGCGTGTTTTTGTGTGTGGGTGTATCGTTGTGATAAGGAGGAGAGATTATCTGTCACTGTGATTGATGGGTGTCGTTTGCTGGTCTTTTATTTGCAGTGATTGCTGGTCCTTGTGTCTGGGTAGAGTTTGTTGACCTTTTTGCAGGGTGTATTTTTCAGGGCTGGGAGCCAGGCTTTACACAGAGTGGCCAAAATCTTGTTCTGTAATTAAATGGCACATAAGGCTAAGGAGGTCATGATCTTACTGACAGATCTGAAGAAGACAGCAAAATGCTTAGATAAAATAGCTTCAACTAATCTTCTCTCTTATGAGTGTCTGCAGTTTCAGTGAACGCTGTACCTTGTACACATGATTCAACGGTCCTCCAACACAGCGACTGATGAGCAGGGTGGATAGAAATCAATGATTTTTTAAAAAAAAATCAGATGGATTTAAATCACAATTTAAAGGAACACCCATTTTAAAAATTCATGTTTAAATCAAATCTGTTGTGTGATGAAAAACTCTCACAGCTGCCCACTTCCACATACATCAGCATATTCCTCTGTAGGTTCACCTATTTTCAGAATTCTTCCAATTTTGAAAAAAGCACACACAAAAATACAGAAAAAGAAGTAGGAAGAAGATAATGAAACCAAGCGATTTATGTGGAAATAACACTTCAGGAAGAGTCTCAAGATTATTTTCCATTACCAACAGAATGATTTTTAAAGCTTAAGCCTTAAACGAAAATGTACATTTGAAAGCCCTCGTGTTAAAATTTAGCTCCTTTTTTCTTTTTAACGGCACCATGTACAGTATGTAAAAGCTTTACATGTTTTACATAAAACTAGAGGAAAGCTCTTAACGTCTTTTCTTCGGATGCTTTTGATTTAATGTGTTGCTAGGGCTGTTTTCCATCACACTGTCCGGGCCAGCAATGGGAGAACCTCTTTCCCTATGAGAGTCTTGTTCAATTTCAGAGAAACTCACAGGGGATACATCTCTTTAGTGGCTGGGACCAAAGTGGTAGAATAATTTGACTTAAAGCTCTTCTTGAAGAGCCTCGTGGCGCAGTGGTTAAAACGCTGTACTGCAGCTAAACTATGCTCACGACCTGGGGTTCAAATCCCAGGTAGCTGGCTCAAGGTTGACTCAGCCCTCCATCCTTCCGTGGTCAGTAAAATGAGTACCCAGCTTGCTGGGGAGGCAATGTGTAGCCTGTATAATTAAATTGTAAACCGCCCGGAGAGTGCTTGTAGCGCTATGGGGCGGTATATAAGTCCAATAAATAAATAAATAAATTGTGGGTAACGACACCTGAGAAAACACATTTATAACAGGTCTAGGGCTGTGTGCGTCTAGGTGACAAAAAGTTCCCAGAGGGTGGTGTAATGAGGAGAAAAGCCAGTGGCTGTTTGGGAAACCCCAGGGTGCACATGTGTACAAAGTTGGGACCCCAGAAGGGCCCGTGGTTACTCACCTGGGTCTGGCTGTACCCCTTTTGCAGCTGCGTAATCACTTTTCAAAAGTGTCACTCTTTTTTACTGGTTTTGTAGGAACTTCATCGTGAGTTGTTTTTTTCCTGGTGATGATGATTCTGCCTCTGTGTATAAGAAATGGCATGCTAACTCTGTAGAGCAGTGGTGTCGAACTGTGGCCCTCCAGATGTTCTTGGCCTTCAACTCCCAGAAATCCTGGCCAGCAGAGGTGGTGGTGAAGGCTTCTGGGAGTTGAA